TTTCAAGATTCCTACGTTGGGGTTGTAGAAACTTGCTTCCGCAACATTAGCTGTAGGGAGAAATGGCCGTGATTCGGCCTCTACCATCTCCCAAAAGCCTGGTCCTTCTGTGCCCGCTTCATGATAAACAGCCACTTGTTGATGAAGAGTGGAGGGTATGGCCAGACTTTGATGGATCCAATCTCTTCCGAGTAAGGCTCCATAAGTGGAGGTGCAGTCCACCACAAAGAATGCCAACATGATATGTTTAGATCCCAAATCCATTTCTAAAGGCAATATCCCATGAGTTTTGGTGATAGCGCCCGAGAAGCTAGAGACCGTGAGGTCTGTAGGGATAAGATCCTCCGCGCCTCTTCCCATTTTCCTCATTTGCTTGGCTGGTAACACATTAACAGTTGTCCCCCCCCATCAATTAAAATTCTTCTGAAGGGCACCCCTTCCAAATGAGCTGTAACATATATGGGCTTCAGATGATTGGCCAATGAGTCGGGCGGCTAAACACCATTTCGTTTGTATAAATCCTTACAGGATCACCTTTGGACGCTTCAGCGGATTCAGCCTTGCCTGATTCTCCTTCTTCGACCATCTCCACATTGACATGTGCCATCATTGGCTCAGATATGAAGTAATCACCCTCCATAGTAGCGGGCTAATCAGATCTGGCACCAAACATGGCGGATAATACATACGCCATGTTGATATGAAAATTACTAGGCTCGGGCAGATCTTCTTTCTTGCTCTCAATCTGGTCCATGAATTCATCCAACCAAGCCATCACATCTACTGGAAGTAGTGGTTCTAATGCCCTTTCTTGCCGATCCATGCCCGCATACAGCGTTTGCTTTGGAACTTCACCAAAAGGATCTACCAATGGCAGAGAAGGTGGTTTCCTTTCAGATGAAATAGTTCCAAAACAAATAGGCTATGGCTTCCATCCGGGAGTTGGTACTATGATTAGATCTTCTTGAGCCCGCCTCAAGATCCTATACTTCCCAGGGTGTTGGTTCTGCGGCACGTGAGTCCCTTCGCCTTCTGTCTTGCTATTGGCCTTTTCCACCTCTTTCTTACTTCTCCAGCCGAGCTGACTACTTCCCCCAGATGATGTCTTCACCAATTTTTGATTTTGGGAGGCTTCAGATGTTGCGGGGGTCTTAAGGGAATTCATATAGGCTTTGTGCTGCCTTTGAACTCTCCTGACCATGGAGGCTCCCATTTGTTTGGTAGGCTGTCCATTCTTTCCGACCACGTACCATTTTCGCCCGAGGTGAGTAGGATTTCCTTTCCTCACAGGATTTGTTATCCCATCAATCCTCTTGATTTCCTTCCCCATATGGCCATATTGAGGATGATCTGCATCCCTTTGTGTTTTGGCCTCCATATCTTCTGCCTCTTCAGAAGCTTCATGGTTTCGAAATACTTCTGATAAAGCTTTGGGTTGGGAATCACCTCCTAATCGTTGAAAAACGCTTCGGGAAGTGTCTTTTCTTGTTGCCCCCTTGATCTTTTCGCGGGCTTCTCTCCTCGCATTGGCACTTACTACACATAACCATCCCCTTGATTATGGCTGCTTTTGGATATTCGAGGCAATGTGATTACCCTTCCTGTAGGTTTTTTAGCCAGTCTTCCTTCCTCCACTTCCCTAGTGATTTTTTCTTTTCCCTTCTCAGCCCATGCCATACTGATCATATTTATAGGGGCTTCTAAGAAGGGAACTGCAGGTTTGTCCATCATCACCTCTTCTGGCTGGCTGGTTTTAAGTCTCTTTTCCTTGGAAGGAACTAAGTCTGTTTCTTTTCTGGAGCCTGTGGAGGTTTTCTCCAATCTTTGCAACATCTGCAGCAACGTGGTTTGCAAATCTTCTGGCGTTTTTTTTACATATATCTTCTGATCGAATGTATCCCACCGGGCGTGCCAAAACTATGTTCGCGTCAGGAATTTCCATCGGGGATGTTTCTTGGCCGACGAGCGCACAACTCCCTTGGAGGTTGGCACCAGTTGAGAACTGCTGTCGGGCTTCTGCTTCATTGTCGGGCTTTGTCGGGCAAGGCTCGTCGGGCAAGACTTATCTGGCAAGGCTGGAAAAGAAGGACAACGTTAACTTTGAAAGGTGCCTTTGTGGGGCCTTAGGTGTAGGCCTTGAGGCTCACAATCAAGATTAACGTCTAAGTACTCAAGCGTGCCACTGCCATCTCTAGCATGGCAGATGTAAAATGGATGTCGAGTTTTAGTTGTGTATATATATATATATCCGAGAAACCGTGTTAGTTATAACAGGTGCCTTTGTGGGGCCTTAGGTGTAGGCCTTGAGGCTTCCTATCAATAACTAAACCAGTACTCGTACACATAATATTTGTTCCATTGACTGCGGGAGTCTTACAACTATTATACTTCTGATTACCTGAATCCGAGAAATAGAACGGACTCAAATAGGTGCCTTTGTGGGGCCTTAGATGTAGGCCTTGAGGCTTCCTATCAGAATTCGTTCTTTGTACTCAAACATTCTAGACTGCGGAATGGAATGAATCCAAATAGGTGCCTTTGTGGGGCCTTAGGTGTAGGCCTTGAGGCTTCCTATCAGAATCCATTCCACGCTTAAGCGTTCTATGATATTCATAATATAATAGAAATAAAACTAAGGGATAGGTCGATTACTTGCGCCCCAAGTAACCTCGGACTTCTTGTTTATCAAGAACTATCGTGGATGGGTTAAGTCCACATAAGGTTCTTTTTTATGCCTTGAGGTCAAGGACTTTCAACTGATCAAATTTGCATGCTCGAGGGCTTAGAACTTAGATCTGGTTTGAACAATGAAGATATATTCAAATCGGATCCAAGTACTGAGAGTGTCTTTTAATAGTCATCTTACTAGAAATAACTTGAATACAACTGAAAGTATACAACATATTGCTAGGCTAATGAATAAAAAGACAAAAAGAAAACAAAGAAGGTCAGGCAAGGTTTAACCTTGTCGGGCAAGCCTGATCGTCTTGCAGGTCCCTATCTTTGTGGCTTATCAAGGGTCTGAGGGCTTTAGAGAGAGGTGAGGAGAAGAGTTTAAAGAGAAATCGATACTACAACAAGGTTGAACAGGGTAGCAGAGCTATTACAAAGGTTTGAGTGAAGGCTTGTCCCGAGAGGGATGAAGGCTTGGGCTGACTACAGCTTCGTTTTGAAGGCAAATCTGGCTTTGAGCAGAGTTTGTGCTTGCATTTGTTTGTTTGATTGAGTGTCCTTATTCCTGATTTCTCTTTCTTCTTTTATAGACAACTCAGCTTGGCCTCTTGTAGCAGCAGCCTTGCCCGAAGGCAACTTGAGAAGCAGTGACTCATCAGCTATTTTACTTGTTGTGCCATTATAAAGTACTTTATGGGCTGTATAGCTGGCCAGTCTATACCACTTGGCTTTTGGGTAGGTGAGCAAGTGGTCTTCATGAGCTGCACCAAGTCAGAAAAGCCCTTTTCTGCTTTCTGGGTTTTGACTGGGCTTCGGCCGACTCTTCCTTTATGCACTCTTTTGGGCCAGCCCCTTTTCTGAGCCCAAAGTTCAAGTTTTTGAGCCAAACACAAAGTGAAGGATATTGAATTTTGTTATCATTTTTAAATTCAAGAAAGGCAGTCTGTGCTGCCTCTTCCGTTCTGATTTGAAGAAGATTTCTCAAGCGGCTATAATTTCATGGCAGGTTGGTTTAAATCAGTTCCAAAATTTGGGATCATTTGGGATATTTTTAGGTTTTTCTGTCCCTCACAAATCATGGCTTGCTAAAAAAACCGAAGCAGTTTAAGCTTCTTCAGCTTTTTGATTTGGATTGAAGATGATTTTTAGCCTAAAAGTCTAATGTTCTTTGAATCCTGCATCTGGGAGTGTTTTTTTTTTTCCAAAGATGTGGGATTTGTTTTCTTCAATTTTAAAATATTACAATTGAATTCTTTGTTTGGGTAAAAATTTAATTGGATTCTGTATGGGTTCTGATGAGGCACTGAATTGGGTTTGAGAGTTTTGATATTATGAGAGAGGTAGGGAGTATATTGGGAGAGAGGGAGGTAGGTGATTTGCAGAAATGGAGGGTGAGAGAAAAATGGGAGAGAAGGGGTAGTATATTATATTTTGATTTTATAATTTTGGGGGTTTTGTGTTTAAACTTTTTCAGTACTTTTTTCGCAGATATAGCCTACAAATGTCAAAGAGCTTTCAGTGTACATGTAAAGCAAAAGTATACAATAATTCCAATAATATTTTTCTTCTAACACTGTTAACTTACTCTGTTCCTTATTGTTAAGCATATAGTTTTCAGCGATCTCTGGACAATCCCTATATATGCATTGTATTTGTATATTAGTTTCACTTAGTTGAAGGTCTTGAAAAACTTAATTTAATAAATCCAAAATGTGTTTTCCTTTAGAAACCGTTTGATAACCATTTGGTTTTTAGTTTCAAATTTTTGTTTAAATTTATTTTTGGGCATTTACGATAACTTTACTTTAGTATATGTAGATTTAATATTACAATTTAGTATAAATTTATATATTATCTTCTTCTTAGGTTCTTCAAGCATTTAGCTTCTTAGAATATCATTTTTGAAAAAAGTTGGAGTAGTGCATTTTATAGTGTGGTTGAAGTGGGATTTTTGAGAGGGAAGACTAGTGGATCTCTGAAAAGGAACTGGGTGGAGGTAATACTGAATTTAATAGAGTTGGGTGTTTTGCAAGCATTGAACAAATTTTACAAACACTGAATTTAAAAATTGAATATACAAATAAAATTGTAGGTCAAATTCAATATTAGTTCTCTTAACTTTTGTTTAATAGATTTATACTATTATAGGTTTAATGAATATTATTTTTAGTTGATAATTAATTGATGATTTTGAAGTGTGTAATATCTTTTGAAATGTATATAAAAACCAAGCTGCTTATCTTACCGATCTCGTTCACTCATCTATGCCTCTGTTCATTTAGAATTATGTTTAATTTATTTAAGTTAAATGTGTCTTATTCATGCAGTTAAGGCTGATGCATCCCGTAGCAACGCGCAAGCATATTTACTAGTTGCTTCTACACTCAGACGCATTGTCATTCGTCACCACTCCTCATTCCAAAGTCAACTGTTAATTTGTGAACAAGTTAATACTTAGGAATCCTGTAGCCTGTCGAACATTATTTGAAACTCTGTTGAAACAATCATCTGTTTGCAACAATCATCTGGTTGGCTTCGATGGCTAAAGAAGCAGCAGCAGCTGCCTCATCTTCTTCTCCTTCCCGTTGTTTCACCAATTCATGGAAATACCATGTATTCTTGAGTTTCAGAGGCGAGGACACGCGCTACAATTTCACAGGCCATTTGCATACAGCTTTGTGTCAAAAAGGAATTAACACCTTCATGGATGATTATCTTTCAAGAGGAGAAGAAATATCAACATCGCTCCTCAAAGCGATTGAAGAGTCGAGGATTTCTGTCATTGTATTCTCGGAAAACTATGCTTCCTCAAGGTGGTGCTTGGACGAACTTGTTAAGATCATTGACTGCAAGAAATCAAATCAACAAATGGTGATACCGGTATTTTACAAGGTGAGTCCCTCGGATGTTCGAAATCAAAAGGGTTGTTTTGGAGATGGACTTGCTGGCCTTGTGTGCAAATATAAGGATAACGTTGACAAGATCCACAAATGGAGGCCAGCTCTTTCAGAAGCAGCAAACTTGTCTGGGTGGACTCTCTTGGATAAGTATACATTATTACTTTAACACTTCCTTCTGCTTTTGCTTGTTTCAATTTCTCTACACTTTTGGTATGTATAGATTAAAATTTTTTGTGATAGGATCAAGAATCAAAAGACCCAACATGTCATCAATTTGTGGCCTTGTCATCCATTTGTGCATATTTGGAGTCCAAATTTAGTGTACAAATTAGTGTCTCTAGCATACTTTATCCAATCTTCCCAAACTATAAAAAAAATATTGGTTTGTAAATATAACTAGAAGGAAATTCTGTTCTACTTTTGTGTGCATATTTTCTTCCCTCTTTTAAAAAAACTTGCGAAAATGTCATTTATAAGATGTTCCTTGTGATTTTATACTTGCAGGCATGAAGATGAATCGAAATTTATTCATAACATTGTTGAAGAGATTTCCACGCAAGTAATAAACCGTACATATTTGGATGTGGCCGAATACCCAGTTGGAACAGTTTCTCGTGCACAAGAAATAAATAACCTCTTACATGTCGGGAGAAATGATGTCCGTATGTTAGGTTTATGGGGGACTGGTGGAATTGGTAAATCAACAATTGCCAAAGCTGTTTATAATTTAATTTCCCACAAATTCGAAGGCAGTTGCTTTCTCAGTAAGGTTAGAGAAAGTTCAATGACAGAAAAAGGATTGGCCAAATTACAAACGACACTTCTTTATGAGATTCTAGGGGGAATCAAATTGAAGGTGGCCAATGTTGATAAAGGAATCACTTTAATTAAGGAAAGATTAAGCAGTAAAGGGATTCTCTTAGTTCTTGATGATGTGAACGACATGAAACAGTTACGATGCTTAGCTGGGGGATCAGATGGTTGGTTTGGCATGGGTAGTAGAATTATCATAACGACGAGGGATAAGAAACTGTTAACTACTCATCATCATAATATTTCGATATACAAGGTGAAGGAATTGAACTATCATGAATCTCTCGAGCTCTTCAGTTGGAATGCCTTCAAAAGCAAAGGACCTTTGGATGGTTATGCGGAACTTGCAGACCATGCAATGCGGTGTGCTCAAGGCCTTCCATTAATTTTGAGAGTTTTAGGTTCACATTTGTACCGTGAAAGGAAAGATAAGTGGCATGCTATATTAGATGGTCTGATCAAAAGCCGAGAAATTCAAGATGTTTTCAAGATAAGTTATGATGCATTGGATGAAATAGTGAAGGAAGTTTTTCTCGACATTGCGTGCTTCTTTAAAGGGGGAAATGGTAGCTATGTGATCGAAATATTAGAAGGATGTGAGCTCAACCCCAAGCATAGCATTGACGTACTCATACAGAAGGCCCTCGTAAATATAGATCATGGTTTTATATGGATGCACGATTTGGTAGAAGAAATGGGTAAAGAAGTAGTTCGCCAACAATCGCCCAATGATCCAGGAGAGCGCAGCAGATTGTGGTTTCATGACGATGTTTATCGTGTTCTGACAGAAAATACAGTAAGTTCATTTGACAACATTTTATTTGTTAACGAGACATGCATTTTGTTTTATAAGGAACTTGCATTGTTAATACCTTTGAATTTTCATACTAGGGAACGAAAAACATTACAGGCATAAAGGTGCAGCTGCTTGAATCGGATAATGAGATATGCTTAAGTCCTACAACCTTCTCCAACATGAAAAATCTTAAAATTTTCATAAACTGTAATGGACGGTTTTCTGGAGCCGTTGATTACCTCCCCAACAACTTAAGGTTCGTTGATTGGCCTGAATGTCCGTTGAAATCTTTGCCGCCCAATTGTAATCCGAAGAATCTTGTTCTACTCAACATGAGGAACAGCCATATCACAGTATTCGGAGAGGGATTTAAGGTATATACGTTGATCTTTTTTCTTTCTGTTTTATTTAAGGCTAAAGAGTCTTTTTTCTGTGTCCCCTTTGAAATGTTTTCATCCCTTCCTCTCTTTTTTTCTTCACAGAACCTGACGAAGCTGACTTCTATAAATTTATTTGGCTGTCAATACTTAACAAGAATCTCCGACTTCTCCGGAGTTCCAAACTTAGTGAGGTTGGATCTAGGATTTTGCAAAAATTTAACTGAGGTTGATCCATCAGTTGGATTTCTTAATAAACTTGAAGAACTAAGTCTTCAGAACTGCTATAACCTTACAGTGTTTCCAACAACAATAAGCTTGAAATCTCTGAGAACTTTTGATCTTTGCGGTTGCAAAAAGTTTGAGATATTCCCGGAAATTGTGGGCAAAATGGAAAGCCTAAATCGTTTGGAACTTTATGGTACTGCTATAAAAGAATTGCCTCCATCAATTGAAAATCTCACCGGGCTTGAAACCTTAGTGTTATTAAAATGTGAAAACATTGCAAATCTGCCGCAAAGCATTTATGCGCTGCCCCGTCTTGGATATCTTAATCTCAGTGGCTGCCCAAAGCTTGTTACACTCCCTCCGGAGCTTCCAATTAACTCAAACATTTCACGTGACAACTTTGGGTCAGTAGCATTTCCCAATCTATGGACTATACGTTTTGATGAATGCAATTTATCGGACTTTGATACCCTTGCAAATTTCTGTTGCTCATCTAAATTAGAAAGAATTAGTCTACGTAATAGCAATTTTGATAGTCTTCCTGCAAGCATTAACAAATTTGTGTGGTTGGTGGAACTTGATTTGTGTGGTAGCAAGAGACTTAGAGAAATTTTAGGACTTCCACCAAATATAAGACGGATTAACGTTGGTGATTGCATATTGCTGGAAATATTTCCAACATTGTCAGAGATGATACTGGTAGACGGAGACATGAGACTCATTCGTATTATGAACATATCTAATTGCCCAAGGCTATGCGAAAATTTGGCTTTGGACGTCTCCAAGATGGCAAGCGTATTACTGCATCAGGCACTTCTCTCTCTCTCTCTCTCTTTTTTCCATTTTTCCACTCTTCCACTATGAACGACTAATTAACATTCATTATATGAATCTTACAGGCGGGGAAATGCTGGGAAGTGCTAAACATTATACTTTCAGGCAGTGAAGTTCCAAATTGGTTCAGTTGCCGCAAGGACGTACGTGTGGTTACAACTGATCCTGGTTGTATATGTGAAATTTTTATTGAAATCCCTCGGACTTTCAAATGGAAAAACACAGGACTTGTTTTCTGTGCTGCTTTCAAAATCACGCAAAATTTTTCTGGACAATGCTTTTTTCATACAAGGACTGCAGTCAATGGAGTACCTATAAATGACCCGGCTCACATAAAGTCAGATGCAGCTCATGTGTGGCTAAAATATATTCCATTACCGGCTCACATAAAGTCGAAGGTGGATGAGGGTGGTGATCAATCAAAGCCGTATCTGTGTCGAGTTAGTGTTTACCGCTTATTTGGAATAGGGTCGCTCTTAAATGGCTGCGGTGTCCACTTGGGAAATTTCAGTATGCCCGAGGATGGTGGTGAAGATGATGACGATGTAGAAGACGAAGATGACGACGATGTAGGAGGTGATGACGATGATGGTGAAGATGTTGACGATGTTGCAACATTTTCAAATCTCTAATCATGTTTTTATGATGGTCATTCTTGTTTTGAAAGTTTTTCTTCTGCTAACTCAACAAGTGTGGGGTTTTATACAAAGTGCAAATAGTGAAACCATGAAATATAAACTGTATTCATTTTGGTCAGGTTTCTGACGTGGGACTTCACATTCTTCAACGCTTCCAAGAAGGCCATTGATATACGATTCCTCTCTTCTCTCTTTTGTGTTTAAGGCAAGGATTTGGCTCCATTTTAACGCTCTCTCTTGTTTTTCTTCTGCTAGTTTTCAATTCTTAGAATTCTTTGTGATTTTCGTTTACAGAAAAATAATCTCCATAGCTACGGCTAGGAGAGAAACCTATACTATAAAAATGAATCGAAATAGTGGAATTGCATAATTGTATATAGGCGGAACCCCAATGCTTTAATGCTATTTGGAGCATATGGTATCTACAAAACAAGATGCTGTTATACCATCTGCAGTTAATGGAATAGAATTCCATCTTGCTAAGCATTTAAAAGGCCACAGAAATGTTTCCACAGGAAGTCAACCGAGTGTTTGCAGATTGTATAAAACATCATATAGCTGGTTGTGTTTAAGGAACATCAACAATGCCAACAATTACGATACAACTATATATATGTTGGACAATTTGAGCATTACCCCGCTAATCCAATCTGGCTTTTACGACGAAAACGCCCCAAAGTTTGTTGCATTTCCAGATCAGGCATCAATCCTATTTGGATCATTTCTTCAACAAGCCTCGAAGCTTCACCGATTCTGTTAACGTTTATATAGTCGTTGACCAAGGTTTTATAGGAAGCAATATCAGGCGCATAACCCATATAACGTTTATTCCTTCTTAGTGAGTGAATAAAACTGTAAGTGCTCCAATTTCTTTCACAACAAGAGGAGGAACAAGGTTGTCCAAGTAGCTTCAACGCTATGGATTGGAGACTAGGTGTAGAAGCTCCATGGACAATCCACCACATTACTGGTTCCAAATGAAACCTATCATTCATAGAATCAATAGCTCCAAAGTCATTCAAGCACATAGAGAAAGAGGCATACTCCACATTGATACTTCTTCTAATTTCCTCATTGGAAAAGTATCTCTCAAAACACTTTTTCCTTTCAGTTGTAAGCTCAACATCTCGGTGTGGAGCAATCTGACTAGGGTCTTCTTGGAGCCATTCTGAACTATAATACCTAAAATAAAAGAATAGCACTTTAAAAATATAATCATAAAGCTAAAGATTAATTTGGAAGAGTTTATAAGGATATTAGCAAAATCATTACCTTGGATTTAATGAATGCGCCAAACAATGAAGTGGTGTGCTACTTTTAGTCCATCACTCTAATAAAATGCGATACACCGCATCAAAAAAGCTGCTTTTTTCATGTAATGCCTTGCGCTCATTCCTATAGATAGCAGCTTTCACCTTTTCAATCATAACATCCCACCACTCATACACCAAGTGAAGACAAGGCTTATCTGTGTCAGCCATTCTAATAGCCTCATATATTGGAGCTGTAAAGAAAAGAATATAATCAATCTTCTCCCAAAAGTACTCATCCAATATTTTTTGCTTCACCGTCATTGCTTTAACCAAATCATCTTCTTTGTACAAAGCCCAATTCGGGCTAATCACCATTTGTTGTAAACCTTCCTTTACTTCCTTAAATCTTCTAAGCATCACAAGTGTGGAAGCAAATATGAAAAATTTTAAAATTAGGATAGCTCATAATTGAATAAGAAAAAAAAAGGAAAAAAAGTGGAGAAAACAAACCTTGTTTCGGCAATGGAGAGCAACTTTAGTTTGCAATGTTCATTAAACATAGACAATCTCATGCTATGGTTCATAATAAAATTTTTTATGGACCAAACATCACTAGCAATAGTTGAAATCCAATTGCAGTCATCGTACGAAACATCTGTTTGTTTCGGAGAGCATATACTCTTCAAAGCAAGATTAAGAGTGTGAACAACACAGGGTGTCCAAAAGATATGGGGATAGCGGGCCTCAATAAGTAACCCAGCAGCTCTAGAGACAGGAGCATTGTCAGTGATCACTTGAACAACATTTTCATGACCAATTTCTTTAATAGCTTCTGTAAGGAAGTTGGCAATACAATGCTTGTCTTTATATTCACCTTCACAATTAATTGGCCTCAAGAACATTGGCCCGCTTTCACAAGTTGCCATAATATTAATAAGTGGTCTCCTTTGTGCATCTGTCCACCCATCACTGCACAAACTTACACCTTTAGTGCTCCATGTGCGCTTGATTGGTTGGAGGCATTGCTCAATGTGACTCTTCTCTTGTTGCAAAAGAGTAGTCCGTAGTGCATTGTAACCTGGTGGAACATACCCTGGAAGTGTAGAAGCTCGAACATATGAGTTTCGATAGTGCGGATTTCTTGCAAGGTTAAATGATAAGCCACCTGTATAAAACATCCTTGCAACTTCAGCATCACACTGATCTCGAGCTTCCTTGTTAAAAGCTTTACTAAGAGGCACACTTGTTCCCTTTCTCTTCTTTGGATCAAGATTCACTTCGGGTAGATCATAACAGAAAGAACCAGTATTGGGCAAAGAAACATTCTTAAGAGCAGAACTCTTCAGCTTATATTCACACTCTCGAATTAACTTTTTCATTTCTGCAAGATTTTCATCAGTAACCTTGCTGCAAGGCGCGACCCCGTTTCCAGCCATTTTTAACAAATGAAACTTGACCCTAGAGTATGATCCTTTGTAAGTTTTCTGACAATAATTGCATTTAAATTCAGCATTCCCTCCTCCTCTTTTTCCCACTTTTTCGAGCTTTTTGACATACTTCCACAACGGAGTATGATAATTTTCAACAATCTCATCCGGATTAGCATTATCATCCGGATTAGCAATATCATTCGCATGATTATTAGGGTGATTCATTTTCCTAAATCAACAAACATATAAAGAGTAATAGTTAATCCACTGTAAAGACAAAGTTATTATAATCTAAATATCCATACCACTACACAATAATATATTATAATATACAAAATACAATAATATTATAATAACAGAAAAAGTTAAAACAGAAAAGCAAAAGTCGTCAGATGGACTATGGGGAATGGATGGGTATTATTATTATAATATTATATTATTGTTCTTGGGGAATCAAATTGTCTTGGAATGAGTATTATAATGTTGTTGTCTTCCAATGGGTATTATAATATTGTTGTCTTCGAATGGGTTGAACTTGAAACTTGAATCAGTAAAGCTGAGACCTGAGACTGGTTAAAAAAACGAAAGCTCACCGGTCACCACCACTCACCAGGAGTTGCAGACAGAGACGAAGGAGATGACGGAGCAGTTGTAGACGAAGAAGAGGGAGACGACGGCGCAGTTGCAGATGGAGACGACAGGTCACAGAACAGTTGCAGATGACGGGCAACTGGGATTCGTGAAAGTCTCCCAAGCAGAGTGATTTCTGAGAGGTAAATCCGAATTTTAATTTTTTTTTTCTGATTATCCTCTGATTTTAGAGTGATTTCAGTTAACTAAGTTCGATCAAACACGATTCTATGCGGATTTTTTGTGATTTTTTTTCTGATTATCCTCCTATTTCAGTTTCAAATGTATCCGAAAAGTAGGATACACGTATCTGGACAGTACGATACGCGTATCTCGTTAGTCCCAACCGTATCCCTTCACTCCAATACGTATCGGACGCGTATCATCCGCGTGTCAGATACGGGATACGGTCGCTTTCTCCCGTGTCCATGCATCGTAGTCCACCCGGTTCAGACGGCACAAGCAATTCAGAAAAATATTCATTGTACAGACATCAGGTCGGAATTGAGCACAACCCATCAACTGTTTACACATAGAAACCACAGCAAAATGCTCCTTCATCTTGGAGAGTGCCCCAAACAAACAATTGAAAGTCCAAATAGAGGGCAAGGGTTTGGTTTGAATCATGGAATCGAAGTAACCCAATGCTTCATCTTTCCTAATCTTTCCAGATTTGCATCGAGTTTGAATCAAATTGTCCGATTCCGAATGGGTTCGTTTAAATCTATCTGTAGTAATAGCATTAGCATTACCAGCAGCGGAATGAAATCCATCTTTTTGTGCAGAAAGGTAAAAATGGATGAATGATTACTTGTTGAGTTAGGAAGTCGTGTGCTTATCTTCTTCATCTTCCACAGATTCAGCCCAGTTGTTAGGACCACATTGTTTGGGGGCCTATTAGCTCTCTCTCTAAGCCGATACTTGTTAACCCACAACTATGTTTTGCTCAAGGCCTAGCCTGTTTGGAACTAGGGTTTCCTTTTCAGTTGAATATAAATGATGTAGTGTAATTTGTAAGACATATGAAGAATGCAATGTGTCTCATTTCCTTTTAAATGTCATTACTCTTCCTTTTTCCTGCACTGTTTCTTCGATTTCAGAGCCCATCGATTCGATGGGCAAAAACACCCAGTCTGCCACCTCTTTTGATCCCAATGCGGTCGCCGCTGCTATGGATGCTTGCCAGGATCACCTTCGAACCCAAGTTGAGGGTCTCTCATATTCCATTGAAGCCCTTGAAACCCAACACCAAAACCTCCAGAAATCATTCGACCTCATGACCACCTCCAATGCAACCTTCCAAAATACAGTAACCTCACAGTTTGCAGCATTTCAAACACTCATGCTCGACGAATTTCACCTTCTCAAATCTGGGCTTCCCTCCCTTCAAACCACCACAACCCTAACCCTACCCCACCCCCGTCAACTACTCGACCAACCACCACAGCTAGCCGTTCCCTCTTTGCACCGCTGACAACTACATATTCAAGCTTGGGTCTTTCTCACCCCCTCACCCAGTCTTGCTCCATTGCCCCCGTACGTGTCCTTCACCCGCCCCACCCCGTCCCCAACAACTATAACCAGTCACCCGGTTTTTTCCCATCACCCATTCCCATCGTCCTCTCTTTTTCTTTTCCCGAACCCTTTTTCCCCTATCCCATCTCAACCCCACTTTTTCCATGTCTTACCTTTAACAGCACCATTTACCTCCCACACTCAACCACACACCATACCCAACCAACATTACTAACCTTCTACTTTTAAACCAATAAAAATGGAGTTACCACATTTTAATGGAGATGATCCATATGGATGGCTAGCCATGGCCGAAAGATACCTGGACTACTATGAGGCCCACCGAATTAGTGGGTTTTGGTGGCTGCCTGTAACTTTAGGGCGGATGTCTCTATTTGGATGTGAGGGTTCGAACAACGGTATGGCCGAGAGAACTGGAGTCTATTTGTGGACTTATTGCTTCAACGTTTTGGGGGTGGTGATCGAGCGAATATTGAATCACATCTCACTCACATTCAACAAAAAGGCACTGTGGATGAATTCATTGCCGAATTCACCAAACTGTCTTATAGGGTGATAGATTGGATAGAAAATCAGTTGAAACATGTTTTCCTTGGGGGATTACGAGATGACATTTGTCACGATGTCCTAGCTCTCGAACCTGACTCCCTCCACCAAGCCCAAAGCTAGCCAAAATCTTTGAGACCAAAAACCAAGCCAAACGTTATACCCGTCCCCTTTTCCCTCGTCCTTTCCAATCCTCATCCTTTTCGAGACCCATTATTCCTACTATTCCACCACCTGCCATACCACCTCCCCACCCACTTCATCACCCCACGGCTCCCTTCAAACGTTTAACCCCAGCCGAGGTTCAAGATAAAATCAGAAAAGAAAAAAGTGTTTTCACTGCATAGAGCCACATGTCCCTGACCATAAATGCAGGAACCCCATGATTGTATTGTTGGACATTGATACCCTCGAGGATAACTCCCATGAATTTCATGATTGTAACCCCGATGAGGATCATCCTATTGATCCCACGTGCCATATGCTCAAGCTATTCTCTATACCGAACCTTGGAATGGGTTATCCCATGTGATTGCACGGTTCTATCGACTCCACATCCATCAAAGTTCTCATTGACTTGGGGGCTGCCTGCAACCTCTTGAGTGTCGATATTGCCCAGCGTCTGTGGTTACAAATTGAACATATTCACCTAATACTGTTTACCACGGCTTCTCGCAAACAGGTTACCACCACCATGAGAGTGCACAATGTAGCCGTAACCCTACAAGATTACACCCTAGTTGGTTCCTTTCTCCTACTCAACATCCCTGGGTATGGTTTAGTTTTGGGGGCTGAATGGCTAAAGTCCCTAGGCTTTATTGGCTGGCATTTCCTGAACAAAACCATGTTTTTCACATCAATGGGCCACACTTACACCCTTCAAGGCCTTACTATAGCCCAACCCATCTTTAACCCGTGCCACTCAACCCAACTTCCAGATACCTCTAACCCCCCCACCACTTCACCCCAAATTACCCACCGACACACCGCTTTCCCCACCCCCTAATACCCACCTTGCAATCATCTTCCTCTTATCCCAATACAAACACCTATTCTGCCTTCCTTTAGGCCTCTCACCAACCCGACTAATAGACCACAAGATTCCATTACTCCTAAATACCAAACCCATCAACGTACGCCCATATCGTTACCCCAATTCCCAGAAGGCTGAAATTGAGAGACAAGTGCAAAACTTCATTTCTTTTGGTGTCATTCAAAACAACAACAACCTATTCTCTTCCCATGTCCTCCTAGTAAAAAAGAAAGATGAGTCATGGCGCCTTTGCATTGATTATATAGCACTAAACGATGCTACCATTAAGGATTGTTTTCCAATCCCGGTGGTGGATGAGCTCTTGGATGAGTTACATAGTGCTTCGATCTTCTCCAAACTCGACCTACGTTCCGGTTACCACCAGATACGGATGTGCACGGACGACATTGCCGAAATTGCATTTCGTACACACTACGGTCACTTCGAATTTATGGTAATGCCATTTGGTTTATCCAATGCACCATCTACTTTTCAAGCTCTTATGAACTCCATTTTCAGTTCGTACTTGCGTAAGTTTGTGTTAGTATTTTTTGATGATATACTTGTGTATAGCCTATCTTTGAATACTCACTTATCCCATTTGGAGATTGTTTTCCAAGTTCTTTCCACTAACAACCTGAAAGTGAAGCTCAACAAATGCTCTTTTGGCCAAAACAAAATAGAGTACTTGGGACATTCTATTTCGGGCAACGACGTATCAGTTGATGCTTCCAAAATCCAAGCCATAATTGACTGGCCCTAACCGACATCCATCAAAGGTCTTCGGGGATTCTTAGGACTCACCGGTTACTACTATAAATTTGTTCATCACTACGGATTGATCGCAAAGCCCCTGACCACAATGCTTTAGCACGACAACTTTACATGGACACCCGACTCCATTGCGGCCTTCACTAAGCTCAAGCAGGCTTTGGCATCCACTCAAATTCTTGCCTTTCCTGATTTCAACAAACAGTTTGTGGTCGAAACAGATGCTTCAAGTGTGGGCATAGGCACCGTGTTAACCCAGGAAGATCATCCCATCGCTTATCTTAGCAGAGCATTATCTGGCCGCAACCTTGCTCTTTCCACATACGACAAAGAGATGTTAGCCATTGTGTTTGCAGTACAACATTGGCGACCATATTTATTGATTCTTTTCTGGAATCAAGCTGCAATTGAAAAGAAACTGACTTCAATTGGTTCTTGTTTCAAACCCTAATTCTGTATTCTGAAAAACAACACCCTTGGTGAAGAGGATTTTGCTTGCAACCTCAAAATCTTGTGTCAATGACATAAAAATATATGCAACATGAATTTACAGTGTTATACTCTATATATCTATATAAGACTAAAAAGGTGAAGTTTTTAAAAAGTTCATAAATACCGCTCATTAATTTTTTTTTTTTAAGGAATACAACTCAATTAAAAAGATAAAAACTATAAAAATACAAAATAAAACTACTTCGCGCACATGAGTGGTCTTTTATCACAGTAGTGAACATGTGTGGTGCTATTGCATGACGACGTGAATTCGAACTCTGTCGGGAGCTCATCTCGAGAGCTAATCTAACATTTAACTTACTAATGATATTGGTCTACTTAAAAAAAGAAAAGAAAACTACTTAGTTGATGTATTTTATTTTTTTTCTTTTAAACAATATAAATTTTAATTTAAACTAATAAAATAAATAGAAAACAAATTGTCACACGTGTAAACATGTGACAAGAGGACTAGCATAAATGAAATGAGAAGGCAAAAAAAGCGAAACTTTCATAATACCTAAATTGCCCTTTTTCTATTAGGAATTTCCAAACAAAAAAAATTAAAAAAATACGTAGTGGTATTGTGATTGGTTTGTAAGTTCATTATTTTCCAAAATATATTTTATTACACCATGTTATTGTGTACTTATATATGTAAGTTGCTTTTTAATGACTTTTTTGAGTCACTGACACACCCCGATCTCGAGAATCAAGGCGTGCTGGCCGTCACGTGAGCGTGACGTAGCCAAAAGTGCGACACAGAAGCAAGACATAATAAAATATGCAGGGAATTTAAACCAATCACTAGCAGTAATAACCTACTAGCATAAAAGAGTGAGTTATAAAGTAAAACACACAAATTCAGAGCGTAGGTCTCAAGTGCAGTCAAGTAGGACTATAATTAAAAGTACAACACCCGCAGGTGAGTCCTACATGCAGAACGTCTGTCAGAATGCCGAAAAAAGACCTTGTGAGCCACCAACTGCTAACTAGAACCTGGAGGGGCGCAAACAAAGATGAGTGGGTCAGTAAAACCAAAGATTTTCCAAAACATTTCATTCAAAACATTTATAACCCCTCACCGTAAAACATGTATACTTTCCCAGAAAAATAGTATATAAACATATATATACATAAATCATCAACTCGGCTCACCATCTATCAACACAACATCTCAGAAAGAATATGCCATGCCATGCCAAAATATAATATGAATGCATCGATATAAATCAGGTGAAATAATAAATCAACCGGATACCCTACAGTGGTCCTGTATGGCTGATTCTATAGCTCAACATCCCACTCAGCTGGAGTCACCACAGTGACCTATACGGCCCAACTCTGCACGTCACTCGGAACTACGTATGGTAGTCTGTACGATGAAAGGTGTATAAATACGCTTTAGTGCTTCTCTCATCAATCATCGGCGCGCATAACTAAGGTCACCCACTAGTCGGAATCACATCTAGTGATCTATACGACTAGCATGTCGGAACCCTCACATGGTCTGTACGACATCCACCTACTTGGATCCAAGGCGAGCGTGCGGTGTGGTGAATAATATAAGCACTAACACCTAGGGTGCATGTTATGAGCTTTCAATGCAATTCACATAAAATAAATCGTATGAATAATGTAAAAACTCACTTGTGCGTCCACATCGTCAATTCACATATATATACCTCAATTATCAATTCAAATATCTCAACAATTGCATGCATGTCAATTTAAAACATATATTCATATAATTGCATTTTCTGGGAAAAACATTAGTATATAGATAATACGAAAACAAAACTGCCCACTCACTGGTAAGTCGATGGGTCATAACCCCCGTGACGTCCCTGGATGCGCTCATCCTCGGGATAGGTGTCACCTATATGCGAAATAACTATAAAAACGTTAATTTAAACACATAACCAACAATTCGAAATAACTTCTTATACGATGCTCAATTTGGGTATATGAATATACCACATCGACCTACTCGACGTCACGGACGTCGAGAAATTTTTAGAATTATTTTTAGGCTTGTCACGCGCCCCCACGCGCCATGGGTGGCACGGACCTACGCGCCCCCACGCGCGTCATCTTCCTCAGCCAGTCGCCAGACTGGTTTTTCCGGTGGCCGGATTCCGGTGAGTTTTGTAATTTCTTGTTCTCCTTCGTTTCTCAACCGTTTTCTTCGAATTTTATATCAAAATGAAGCCCTAAACATGTAGAATCACGATGGACAAGTTTCAAGGTCTAAAATTCACTAGATTTTACCTGGGGAAGCACGATAGTTCGGAAATTTTAAGAACCTCCGTTCTCGGTCCTCCGACGTCCAAATATCACCAACGAAGTACCCCGAAGCTCGTGAGGATGTCCTTAAGCTCACTGTGAGCTTGAAATTCCCTGAAATGCAAGATTTCACATGTGCATGAACATTGCACATTTTCGGGGTTAGGGTTTCACAACGATTCTGAGGGTTTCACTTCCTAAAACTAGTACCAATCGACTCAGAACATCACAAGGATGAAGAATCATACCTTATTTGCTTCGATCCACGAAGTTTTGGAGGGTTTTGGTGATGTCTGTATGTTCGAGGGTGAGAGAGAGTGAGAAAGTCGTGAGGGAGGAGAGAGAGAGAGGCACGGGGGAGAGGTAGAGAGCAGGGAGTGTGTGTGTGTGTGTGGTCCAACACCAAACCACATCATCAATTTTTCATCTTAATTCCCTAACCACACAACAATCCCACATAAGCAAATTCCAAAGTTCATAAAGTTTAAGTCTAATTAATGTCACATACACGCATACCTTAATACCCGTCAAGGGTAATTCAGTCATTTCACGCTCCCGATAAGAAAATCTCGGGACGGGCTGTGACAGTCACACTAAAACGATTTAGGATAATGTCAGGGAGATCAAACTTTTTAAATCAAATCACCAAATTACTGCGTACTTATCCAACTAAATTTTTTTTGTTTCATTCTAAAACTATAATTTTTGTTTCACATTCTAAACCCCGAAAGTAGTCAAGCAAAAAATAACATTGAGTAATCCCCCAATAAGCAAAGCCAAATCCAAGAAGCATAACTAAAAGTTCTAAGATGGGTACTAGTTTAACCAAAAGGGGGTGAATAGGTTCCAAGTTAAAAAACCAATTCAATTTTCAATTTAATTTTCACAACCACAATACATATCAAATTATCATACTTATATGCAGTTAAAACAATAAATAAAATGTGAACAGGATGTAGGATTTAACGAGGCAAAACCCACAATTGGAAAAATCCTCGGGCTCTCAAGCCAGGACAAACACAAAGAGAAATGAATTACAAAACTCATCTTGCTAGACACTCAATTAGAAGGCAGTTTTGTCTCCACGCCTTTGCTACTCGATCTCTCTTCAACCTTTGAGTGGAAGTGGCATGACACTAATGGGCCGTCAATCATTGTCTCCTCGAACTTTGCAGGATACTAACGTGATCATGCAAAATGTATGTAATGAAATGATTTTTGGAAATCAACCAATTATGAAAATCACAAGGCACATTTTCATAATTGATTTCTAATCAAAGCGCATGAAAAATCAGTGAACAAAAATTAATATTTTCTTTGAAAAACACTTGGCAATAAAACTGATTTTTCTGAAACGAAAATAAGTCTACATGCTGTGCAGAGTACGGTGGTGTATTTCGTGATTCTCAAGGTATTAGGTGCTTTTGTATTTTTCCTTTTCAACTTTATTTGTAAGATAATGTCAGGAGGAGAGCATAGGACAAGAAAATATCATCGTCCATGACTCCCAAGTCGATCCTAAGAAGCATCGTCATTCGTCACCACTTCTCATTCCAAAGTCAACTATTAATTTGTGAACAAGTTAATACTTATGAATCATGTAGCTTGTCAAACATTAATTGAAACTCTATTGAAACAATCATCTGGTTGGCTTCAATGGCTAAAGAAGCAGCAGCAGCAGCTGCCTCATCTTCTTTTCCTCTTCCTTGTTTCACCAATCCATGGAAATACCATGTATTCTTGAGTTTTAGAGGCGAGGACACGCGCTACAATTTCACAGGCCATTTGTGTAGAGCTTTGCATAAAAAAGGAATTAACACCTTCATGGATGATTATCTTTCAAGAGGAGAAGAAATATCAACAACGCTCCTCAAATCGATTGAAGAGTCAAGGATTTCTGTCATTGTATTCTCCGAAAACTATGCTTTCTCAAGGTGGTGCAGACATCAGGTCGGAATTGAGCGCAACCCATCAATTGTTTATACATGACAAAAGGATCACATTGATTTGTGACACTTATTTTTAAGGACAACATTGACAGCATCAGAGTGAAATGCACTACTTGTATTCTGCAAAATGGTAAAATGGTAAAATGGAAAGAAGGAAAATTACCCAGAGATGGATGTCTTGTGGGTATCCTCTTCATCTTCATCTTCTGTTTCAGTTGGCTACACAAATTCAGCATATCTCACTTCTTTAAACTAGTCACTTTGGGGAAGAGGAAAAAACAAGGAAGAAGGTATTTATGTTGGGCTCGGAAATATAGGGCCCAAATTAGTTGACTACTTACAGATCACGTGCCAAGCAAACAAAGAACAAGAGGAAACCTATGTACTTTAATTATTTCGATTTTATTTCGGATTTTCAATGTTAATTTTACATTGTGAATGTCCAATGCAATTTTTTATTTATATTATTTTCGAATTGATGAATATTGATTGGTGGTGTATCGTGTTTCTCAAGGTATTGGGTGCTTTTGTAATTTTCCTTTTCAACTTTCTTTGTAAAATAATGTCACTGACAAGAAAACCTCCAGAGTAGAAATATCCACAGAGCTCATAAAAGCGATTGAAGAATCGAGGATTTCTGTCATTGTGTTCTCAAAAACTATGCTTCCTCAAGGTGATGCTTGGACGAACTTGTTAAGATCCTTGACTGCAAGGAATCAAATCAACAAATGGTGGTACTGGTATTTTACAAGGTGAGTCCCTCGGATGTGCGAAATCAGAACGGTTGCTTTGGTGATGGACTTGCTCACCTCGGGTAAATAGCCTAGTGGTGAGGGTGTGGGTAAGGGGTGGGGTAGTTCTAGGTCCCAGGTTCGAAACCTGGTGTGTGTGTTTGTGTTTGTGTGGGTGGTGGAGGGTAACAAAAAAAAAAAAAAAAAAAAAAAAAAATAAGGATAACATTGACAAGATCCACAAATGGAGGGCAGCTCTTTCAGAAGCAGCATACTTGTCTGGGTGGACTCTCTTGGATAAACGTACTTACCCTTGATCCTGTTATTCCATCTTCAGTTAATGGAATAGAATTCCATCTTGCTCTAAGCATTTAAAAGCCCACAGAAATGTTTCCACAGGAAGACTCAACCGAAAGTCTGCAGATTGTATAAAACATCATATAGCTGGTTGTGTTTAAGGAACATCAACAATGTCAATAATCAGGATACAAATATATATGTGTTGGACAATTTGAGCATTACCCTGCTAATCCAATATGCCTTTTAGGACGAAAACGCCCAAAAGTTTGTTGCATTTCTAGATCAGGCATCGATCCTATTTGGATCATTTCTTTAACAAGCTCCAAAGCTTCACCTATTCTGTTAACGTTTTATAGGAAGCAATATCAGGCACATAACCCATAACCACCATTAAGTTCAAGAACGCCTTCGCCTTATCCATTCTGCCATGCAAACAATATTCATTAACCACCATACTGCAAGTTATTGTACCAAGTTTCATACCGTATTCAATTGTTGCCTCAAATATTTTGTGAGTCTCTTCTGTCATCCTACCTTTGCAGATAGCATCCAAAAGTATTACCAAAGTAACGGTATCAGGCAAGAGTCCCCGGCCTACCATATCATCAAACAACCTTGTGGCTTCTTCCCATTGAGTTGTACGACACATGCCATGGATTAAACTGCTATAAGTGATAACATCAGGTGCCAGACCTCTTTGAGTCATTAACTCTAACATACTGAGGGCTTCCTCCGTCCTCCCCTCCTTGCAAAGAGAACTTATCATATTATTATAGGTTCTAACATTTGGGGCAATACCTTCATCCAGCATTCTATTAAACAACCTTGTCGCTTCTCTACATTGGCTGGTCTGGCACAATCCATTAATTAAGGAGCTGTAAGTCACAACATTAGGCTTTTCCCCCTACTGATCATTTCTTCCACAAGATTCAGTGCCTCTGCTGTCTTCCCTTCCTTGCATAAAGCATCCAGAACAGCACTGTATGTAACAATATTAGGCAAGGCTCCATAACCAATCATGGTTTTGAATAACCTCACACCTTCCTCCCAGTTACCAGACTTGCATGATGCAGAAATCAAGGAAGTAAAAGTGACAACATCAGGCTTTATGCCTTTCGTTGTCATATTTTCCAACAGAGTAAGTGCTTCTTGAATTCTTTCTTCCTTGCAAAGACGGCCGATAAGAACATATATGTGTATACATCGGGCGAAATTCCACTGTTAAGCATGCAAATCAAGAAGCTCTTGGCTTTTTCAAACCTCCCCGATTGGCACATCGCATAAATTAGAGTGTTGTAGGTGACAACATTAGGCTTGACTCCTTGATCTACCATTCCTCCAAAAAGAGAGAGCACTTCTTCCCAGCGGCTCGTGTTGCATAACCCATGAATCAATGTGGCATAACTGAAAACATTCGGTACAACATTTTTGCTGATCATATCTCGAAATAGGGTCAAGGCCTCGCCTATTCGTCTTTCTTTACAGAGGCTATCGATGATGGGATTGTAGCAATCTTGGTTGGGCTTCAACCTTCCATCTTCCCACATCTTCATTAGTATCTCGAGTGCCTTAGAAGTTTTCCCAGCTTTGCATAACCCATTAATTATTGTAGCATAAGTGATTTCATCGCATGTGTATCCCTTCTCTTCTATTTCCTGGAAGAACTCCATTGCCTTGGCTAGAGAACTATTCTTGCAAAGTCCATGGAGCAAAGTATTTATAGAATGAGCGTTGGGTTGAAGACCGTATTTAAGGGTAATTGCTAAAACAGAGAAACCCAAGTCCATCCGGTTAAGACGGCACATGTAATTCAGAAACATAGTCATCGTACTGACATCAAGTCGGAACTGAGCGCAACCCATCAACTGTTTACACATAGAAACCACAGCAGAATATTGCTTCATCTTGGAGAGTGCCCCAAACAAACAATTGAAAGTCCAAATAGAGGGCAAGGGTTTGGTTTGAATCATGGAATCGAAGTAACCCAATGCTTCATCTTTCCTAATCTTTCCAGATTTGCATCGAGTTTGAATCAAATTGTCCGATTCCAAATGGGTTTGTTTGAATCTATCTGTACTAGTAGCATTAGCATTACCAGCAGCGGAATGAAATCCATCTTTTTTGTGCAGGAAGGTAAAAATGAATGAAGGATTACCTGTTGAGTTAGGAAGTCTCGTGGTTATCACCTTTATCTTCATCTTCCACAGATTCAGCCCAGTTCATGAAATCCTATGAATTTCAATCCTTCTCTGGAATCAAGCTGCAATTGAGAAGAAACTGACTTCAATTGGTTCTTGTTTCAAACCCTGATTCTGTATTCTGAAAAACAACACCCCCATGCTGATGACATAAAATATGCAGTTGTAAAATCGACGGTGGGTGCAGTGGAATAAATGAAACAAGACACAAAATTTATGAGGTTCCTCTACAGTCAGTGTGACTGGAGTACGTCCTCGGGGCAGCTGTGATGCTTTCATTATAATCTGAAATAATAGGAGTACAAAGATAACTCTCTCTATTATCTCCTCTCATCTTCCTCTATTCTCTCTCTTCCTCTTCCTTCTCTCTCTTCCTCTTCCTTCCTTCCTCTCTTTCTTTCCCGTGAACTTCACTCACTTCATTCATCTTCTTCCTTTATATAAACAAAAGAAAGCACTATTCACTTTACAAATTTTCCACAAATGAATAGTGAAAATACTGTGCATAAATAGTAACAAACTATTCATGTGGACCATCCACATAATATTTACAACACTCCCCCTTGGATGGCCACAAGTCTTCGATTGACTCGTTAAAATCTTGATCTGTCTTGGATGCTCCCCGTGATGAGTATCTCCCCCTGATCTCAAATCATTTAGGTTGATCGTTGATTGTTCTGCTTTAGTCTCTTAGTAAGAAGAAATGCTAAAAGAGTTGCTTTACTTATTGTTAACTTTCCACAGCCTTTTTCTTGAACTGGGTTGTAGGACTTTCTGCTAGACTAGCATTGAAGATCGGAATTTACTCATTTTATCTGGAGCGGAATTTGATTCAAGAGTAATGAACACTTGATCTTGAATCGGACTTGTGATTTCTTCAAGGACCTTCGATGCTTGATCTTGAATGAAATTGGACCATGAGGAGCTTCATGTGGCAAGTGATCTTCAGTTTTGTCAGGGATGAATCAGCACGCGTTTGTTGCGCTTGTCTCCACATGCTTCAATGTATCATTTTTACTTTCCTTACTTGCTCCCCTTGCTTAAGTAGTATTTTCCCTGCTTTTCCCCCATGCATGTGTGGCATCTTCTCCGGCAGTATTTGCCCTCTAATGCCGGAGTGGAGTGCAACCCTTGCATTTGGATGGTTCATCACTTCTTGGTGACTGGAGACCCAGCTCCAACCGTTGAAGATGACTACTCGAGAGCAACATTAGGTAAGCAATCAGGAAAGGTTCCAGGCAGTCGGTTCCTTACCGGGAGTTTAAGTGGAGGTTTCGACATATTGCTTTCTTTATCCTTGTCTTCGCAGGCAAAGAACATGGACAAAGGAAAGGACAGGGAGATTGCATGATATGAGATAATCTTGCTCTGGTCCCTGAAGATATGTGATAATCTTGCTCTGGTGTGACATGTTTGAAGAGGTATTCTCGGAGAGGAAGAAAACTGAGTATTTCGAGATGCTATGTTGAAGATGCATTCTCGGAGATGAGGAAGAGTTAGGTATTCTTGCAGTGTTGTGGGTCTGCCTTGTTATGGAGAACAGAGGTCGACATATATAGAGATTTCTCAATAGCAAGTGGTGGTGCTGTGCTTTTACTCTTGTCAGCAACTGTGGTGTAAATAGAACAGTAAGATTTACGCGTTTTCAACTTTGTCAGAGATCTTTGACAAAATTGCACGCGACATCTGAAAAAGTTGGGATTACGTCTGAAAAATACCAACGAACTTTATTCAGGAAAATCTGGCTTTTGAAATTCGGAGAGCGGTGCCTCTTCGATCTTTGAACAAGTGGCTCTACTGCCTCTTCTTTTATAGAGACATCAATTGTGTTCAAGGGTATGCTCAGAAAATTGCTGCCTGAGAAATTTCCACCTTCTTGCACTTCTGAAATTTTATTTGACCTCTGTTTTTCCTTCATCATTTCTGAAAAATGACTTGCCCATCTAACATTTGCTTAGATTTGAGTCTTAGGAGTGATACAGACGAGCAGTGTCAGGATAATATATGGCGCCCGTCCTTCTTATCTTCTAATGGTCCTCTTACGGTTGGGGACTCTATGATGAAGAATAACATAACCGCTACTGTGGTAGCTAGGAATCTTCTCACTCCAAGGGATAACAAGATCCTTTCAGAACGGTCTGAAGAGTCGGCCATTCAAGACTCCTTGGCTCTCAGTGTTCAGTGTGCTGGCTCTGTGTCCAATATGGGCCAACGCCTACTTGCTCAAACTCGCCAAGTTGAATCATTGATGGCGGAGGTGGCAAGTCTTAAACAAGAGATCAGAGGGCTCAAGCACGAGAATAGGATGTTACACGTGCTTGCAAATAGTTACTCTACGAGCATGAAAAAGAAAGCTCGTCCAACTGCAGGAATCCGAAAGTCGGATTCAAAGTGATCACCAGAGGTTCGTTGCTAGATTCCGAAAGCAACTGATGCCTTCCCCTTCTGGTGTTTTGCTAAGTACTGGGGTGCCACATGATCAATCTCCAGTGCCTCCCCCTTCTGGGGTACTTCCGAGTACTGAGGCTTCACATGAGCAACCTTTGTGAAGGCTCCATCCTGTTTGTTTGTTTTAACTCATGTGTATGTATATATCTGTAATTTCTTGGAGATATTAATAAATAAGCTTTATTTCATTCAATGTATTGTGCCAAATACAATAAAGCATATACTTCACTAAGATGTGGTACTTCTGGACCAAATATTAATTTATCTTTACCCTCACGAAGATAAATGATTATTCTTAGTGTCTTCATCATATGAGTATTCAACTCATAATCTTCAATCCATATGGTTCTTTTAATATCATAAATATCATGGATAAGATTCGTGTTGGTAGATTGTTCGATCTGCAGCTCGAGACAATAATTCCTTCAACACTTTATATAATTTTTCTAGACTCTTCAGGAGTCCCAATTTAATATCATCAACTCTTCAAGAGTTATAATTTAATGTCATTGACTCTTGCAAGAGATTTTAGTATGTTGCAACAATATCATAATGATAGTACTCACTAAGGCAATTTATATAATCCATTGGTATTGAGTACATATTTTATGTTTTTACCCTTCAGAGGCTTACTTCAAGCAATTTGAATCCTTCAAGGGTTTTCTACACTTCATGATACATTTTCCTTTGGAAATTATACACAGAGCAATTCGCTCCCATGTATACTTGAGGGATTTACTTATGGAGATATGATGTGGGCGACTCACAACCCTTCGTATATAATTCTCCATTTATATGAACTCGTTTACAACCTTGTGTCATATCATGTAAGTGTATTACACTGTATTACAAATGCCCATATATAACCTCCTTGGTTCAACATCTTTTGGCTATTTGTATTGTATTCAAATATATATAGGTTTCATTTGCCCACGTTCTTACAAAATTGTAATGGAATTGCCTTTCTCCATTTTGGCCAATAATTTTTCTTTTGTCGACGAACAAAAAGAACGTGACTCAATATTAACACAGTTCATTGATGAATTTAGTAGCTACTTGTAAAAACCAAAATTACCATTGGTTATCATCAATCCGTGATCCCATATTCTCATGTGCATGCGCATGCATAAAAAGCTTTTCATTTCTTTGGATATCCATTGCCTCTTCAAGGGCATGACGCTATCTCTTCCAGGATAGTCATAATTGAGAGAATGTGGATCATAACCTCCTCTTGAGCGTTATAGAGCTTGGATTTTCTCCACTTCCGGGAGTTGAGTCTTTGGAACCTATACATCTATCATGCTACATGCATGAGACATCAATATTCCCATGTCTGTGGATTGTCCTATCTGGGACGTATATCCATGCGGCGACTGTCATGCTTCTGGCATGCAACAGTTATGCTTCGGGAATGCAATAGTTCAGTAGTGCCATATTATTCTTCTTTCGAATAACTGAACCTTTTGAGTCTCAAAATCTGCCACGCTTCAGGCGTGCAACAGATAAATCATTTACTGTCTCATTATTTTATCCAACAGAGACATCAATTCTTGTAGGCACATTTGCAGTAAGTATATATGATTTCATCACTTTCGTTGTATCATTCAATTATCCATATTTCATTTTCTCATTGATTGCTTCGTGAATCAAAATAAGACAAATTCTCTTCGTTCTTCTGGAACGGTCTTTTCTCATCATTCTTTTGGAATGATATTTTCTCATCGTTCTTCTGGAACGATATTATTTTCTCCCCCTAATGGCAGGAAAATTGTCTTATCAAAATGACAGTCCGCAAACCATGCGGTAAAACATATCCCCAATCAAGAATTCCAAATATTGAATGATAGATGGTGTTCAACATCAATGCCTAATCTGCAATGATGCCTCATTTCAGTACGTTGTGGCAGTCTTACAGGCACATAGACAACACAACCAAAAACTCGTAAATGTATAATGTTTGGTTGGTTCTAAACCCGAGTTATACTGAGAAGTATTGATGGTCGGTAACATGTCTCAACCGAATTAATAATGCATCATGTAAAGTTTACATGTCCCCATGTAGAAAATTGGCAATTTCGTTTTCATGAGCAGAGCGCGGGAAATCAATTTCATTCGATTAATAAAGGCTTCTGCTAACCATTTTGAGTATGGACATAAGGAACTTCTGGTCCTTATTTAATAGTCTGTAAACTGAGACTCTTATGGCTTTTATTACAATTAAGTTAAGGCACTGCGGCACTTCAAACTTACGGTACTCATCTAGGAACTTCATGTCCTGATCTTCAGGATCAAGGGACTTCATGCCAGATCCTTTTGTATGATGGAACTTCGGGTCCAATCATTTTATATGATGAGGATCAAGAAACTGCAGGTTCTGATCTGATCAAGGAACTTCAGGTCCTGTATATACTCATAGTAACAAAAGATAAGTACAATAAATAAATTAAAGCAATAGACGGTAATTCCAGCCATAATGAATAAATTGCATTTAAGTAAATAAAGCTTGTGACAAGGGCTTTAATTCAGCACCATCAAAACTTAAAGCAATAGGCGGTAAAACCGTCCATGGTAAATAAATTGCTTTAAAGTAAATAAAGCATGTGACAAGGGCTTTGATTCAGCACCATTCACATAAATATCAAAGCTTTAAAGCAAAGGGTAATAATTCTACCCACTATATAATAAATTGCTTTAAATAAATATAGAACTTGTGACATGGGCTTTAAAACCAACACCATGCACATAAATATGCCAAAACAGAAAATGCAATGATTAAGTCCTCATGTTTTGCTTTTTCATTTTCTTGGTCTGCCACTTCTTTTGTTT